TTTTCTTAAACTAAAAATAACATCATAAATACGTGTACATAAAAATAATATTCATAAAATACATTAAAAATGATATTATATAATACATTATATTATGTACACTTAGTATCTTAATGTCCTATTATTTTAACAAAATAAAACCATTTTATTTCGCTTGTACTAAATCCTTCTGGCGATTTTTTTTTAATGTTGTCCAATTTACCATTAGAATCGTATATGATGTTGATCTATATATTTCTGATGGAAATTATCTCAACGTATCTATTACCCAAGTATATATTTTAAGTGGCAATTTAGGAAACAACTACGCTTTTATATACGCTATAATCTACCTTACGGCCTTCTACTTTTAATGCGCGAACGATGTACGATATTTTGGCGTAAGGTCAACAGACGCTATGCAAATGGCGTATGTCCCAAAAATTTAACGACGCGCAAATGTCTTACAAAAAATACCAAAAGAGACGAAAGTGGTGCGCATATTATGGTCTACGGTATAAAAACCCGCCACCGATTAAAAAAAAAAAAGCGGAGGGAAAATGGAAAAACCTAATTCATCTGCCGGCCCAAATTCGGTACTGCTCCTGAGAAGTTAATGCTCAAAACAATGTGAACATAGAACCTAGCCAATGAGAAACCACAATGATTTTATTGAAAAACAAATATAAAAATGCAGTTAAACTACGAGGTTAACACAATTTCTTATCGTATGGAGATATAAAACTAGTGAATAGCAGTGAGATAGTAAACCCCCTTATGGGTCGATAAGGCTATCACCATTTTTATCGTTATAGCAATCTGGATTTTCGTGAAACTGGGTAACCATTCGTGCCCAGTGCCATTTCGTAATAAAATAAAAGGGATCAATTATAAATCATTAGATGGACAGCCAAATTGTACGGTGGTGCTCGCAAAACTATATTGAAAATAGAAGAAACCTAGGTGATTTTTTTTCCATCTAAGACATTAATAATATTTTCCGTTCAGTTCATTTTTTTTTTTAAATTCTGAACATCACGGAAAATATATCTATTGGTTTGACTATGGTGTGTTTGTTATTTATGTTCATGTTAACGTCTTTTCTACTCTTCTAAACGCAAATTTTGTTTAATTAACGCATTTAAGAGAATATATATCGATTTTGATTCGAAGTTTTCGTAATAATTTTAAAATTGTCACAATAACGGTTTTGTCTTATTTTCGAATTTATTTATTTATTTGTATTAAATCTAAAACAATCGTAAATAATAGTTATTATTAGTTAATTAGTTCCGATTAAGCGATTATAGAATAAATCCTCGTCTTCGAGGTATTAAAATTAATCTTCTCACCACTTCATTTGGATCAACGACACTTTCTTTTCGAATTGATAGAAGAGCTAATCCAGTGAGCCGATCTTTACCTGTTGTGTAGAGTAATTGTTAATATTTCCAACAATTTTCTAATATTTGGTAAAAATCTTTCATCGCGTTCTAATAAAAACTATATTGCATTCGAAAGTTTCCTCGGCGTCATAATTGAGCCATTTTAATTACCACATGGTGAATTCTTCATTAAATACTGTATAATCTGGTAATAAACTTTCATAAAAGGTTATAAAACATCTTTTGATATATATACATAGTAAATTTACATTAATATGCCTCAGTAGAATTACTTTTTCCAAGTTAGTGTCTACTATTAATAGGTACTAAATAATGTGATAAAATAATTTAATAATTAATAATAAAATAGAAACATTTTTGATTTGTATTCATTGTTCACAGGCTACAGTCAATCTACAGATCTTATTTAAGATCGACAATATATTATACAAATAACTCTGGCAAATGTCTATAATATTAAACTTAAATTTTATAAATTGTATACAGCAATCATTTTTTTTTTTTTTCTAAATTCGTTAAAATTTCTTGAGGGGGGTTGAACTTTTTTGCTTTTTAAATCTTGCTTATTAACGCATCCAAAAAGACGGTCGTATTTGATTGTAACCGCTGATCTTATCGGACAATTTCGTTGTGGTTTCTAATAATTTGGTTATTTTCAAAATCTTGTTAGTCACATGGTACTGTATAATATTATCGGATTCGTCATATTTGTGTGGGATACATTAATATATTATTATATATTAAGGTCAAATATTACTTCGGATGTTTTTATGGGGGAGGGGAGGTAATATTTTCCAGGACAAATTTTACCCCGGGTACAATAATGCTAGTCATATATAACGCCAGAGGAGGTAAGCTTATCTGTGGAATGAATCTTGTGGAACAGAAAATATTTCATAGCCGAATAAAGTATCTACATAGTTCATAAATATTTATTATCGTATTGTATTATATAAATATATATTGCATTCTATGAAAGATATTTCATATTTAAAAAAAAAAAAAAAAAAAACCAATAATTTGTTAAACATATTATTTTGTATATTTTCCAATTTTCAGTGTTATTCGTAGAGTTTATTTTGGTGATTTTTAAGTGCATGATATTATTAGAGCTATAAAAACCAACTTTTCCGGTTTTCTATTATTTCCGAGCCCGCACAATAATATAATATGAATAAATAATAATAATATCGAATACCGGGAAAAACTAATAAAACGTCGTCACCGGTATACAAAATTTATCGAAATAGAATTTTTTTTTTTTTTTTTCAAACGAAAACATCTGCATAATAATAAAAAAAAATCTATTCACATTTTTTTTTTTATAATATATTATACGTCGATTATTCAATCGAACGTTTATTGTAATAATAATAATAGACGAGAAATGACGCGCGCGTATCGTATATCAAAGTTAAGATTTATCGGCTCGTATATTATTACGATTATTATCGTAAAAAAAATAAAATACCCTTATAGACGTTGTACTCGCATTATTCGTTATAATATATATTATTTATATTTTATTAGCGCTGTGCCAGTATATTGAGAGGATCCACATCCTCTGCGTGGTTACGTTATTTAAGACGGTTTAAATAAGCGATTCGTTTTTTTTTTTTTTTCATACACTTCAACCGATAAGCCGTAGTAAAATAAACATGCTTTCAGTTGTCCGATTTCTGTTTTGAAAAATGATGATTTCACTCCGTATACTTTTGCTCTGCGTTTTGCATGGGGGAATATTTCAATTTCATTTATTTTTTCCGGGGCACTTAAGTACGAGTTTATTTGATCAAATAGAATTGTATCAATTAAATTATCTAAACGTTTCGATTAAAACACATAAACGAGACACCAAAGAATTCAAGTAATATGTTTTCAAAATTAAAATTAGGTAAGTGGTTGATGGTGGACGGTAGCTCTATAGCTTATTGATCTAAAACGTTACGTTCGTCCGTAAAAATTACCATACATAGGACATTCCTCATAAATAGGTATTAGGCAGTAGATTAGTAGAAAAGTTTTGTCACTAAGGTGGTCAAAAAATAATTTTCAAGATCTTCAAAATAAAATTTTTAAAACCTATTGTCAAAAAATTATTTTATTTCTAAACGAGTATAATATGGTTTAGCGCAGTCGTGTAGCCAGAAATTTGAATTTCGAGTTGGATTTAACAGTTTTTGATTTAAGACATAGGCGTAAATAAGGTTAAAGCTTTTGTCCCTAATCAACAAATTCAGAAAAGTGTTTTCATCGATATGCATTTTAACGTAATACTTTAAATGAAAACATACACAAAAAATTAACTTTTTAATATGTAATACTGGATATTTATCTAATATTTAACTTGTAACAACTAATATATGTATTGACTCCCCTCTGGCAGTTGCATTATAATAGGAGCATTTTGAATAAAAGTATAAATAAATTCTTTCATATAAAACTTTTCAATAAATCAACATTTTTTGTTGTATTTTAGCCCAGGCTAATCCACTGAGTCTAGATATAGTCTGACATAGTGCTCATCTTGAAATACGTTTTTATACGGTTCAGTGAAGATACCATTCTGACAGTAGTGTAAAAAATAACTAGAAACATATTCAACACTTTAATCGTATAATAGTATGTATACGTAAACACAGTCCACCAGTACAGTATCTGGAACTCAATCAAGTGAAAGGAGGGGGGGGTTATAGAGTGTAATTCTTCTACAAACCAATATATGACTACTGCTTGGGCATCCACACTAATATCCCTATGTATTATAGACAGAAATTTCCCTATATTGTTGTCACTACTTTTTGTAACGCTGATAAATATACCTAAGAAATAATAAATATCACGGGTATGATTAGTATATTATTTTATTTCCTATAGCCAATATAACTGTGACTAAAAAAGTCACAGCTAAAAAATTCCAAGGTGGCGGCGCGATCCATCAATCACCTCTCCTCAAATACGCCACTGCGGTCCATGAGTAAAGGGAGTATAAGCTTATAGCTCCCTCCCTTTGGTTACGCCATTGGTTTAACGTGGAAAAGTGCTTAATATAAAAATTAAGAACGTGACTTTATCTGAGGACGACATAATATATTTCGATTTAGTTTAGTCTTAATTAATAAAAAACCCAACGTAGAAAATGAAATGTTTGAAATATATAAATATATATAAGATATAGAGTAATCTTTAATTTGTATACGTTGTAAACGTTTTAGTCAAATAAAAGTTGGCACCCATCATCCGGCAAAGTCTCGTACAATATTATAATATATTCCTACAATTTATTTTTTTTCTTATACCAGTAGATTTATTTTATTACCAGCCGCGCCAAATGTAATATTTGCTATGTGCAAATTTGTTTGACGTTTGACTTGTCCTAAAAAATATTTAACCGACGACATAACTTTGTAACGTCAAGATAATGTATGATAATATCACATTTAAAAACATTAAAACACATCGATAACGTCACGACCGTCTTTAATTTGCATCCAACGAGAAAAGAAAAAAAAACGTTCTCCGCGGTATTATATTATATGTATTATATGTACCGCGCGTATAGAGAACCGTGGTATACGCGATAAAAAGGTTACAGATTAACCACATCTTGTTAAATTAGACACCATTTTTTTCGCATTTTTTCGACATAGACGAATCGTCTTGCGTCTGATCAGACGAATCGTTGTCAAACTCTCCGTCGTCGTCGTCTTCGTCGACACAGTAGTCAAAACTGAGACTGCACAGTTTGTCCATGTCATATTTTAACGATACGGACGATTGACGTCGATTGACGTCCGTTCTTTTGTACAGAAAAGCGTAGAACGTGATAAACGCAATCAACAGGGTTATGATTCCGACTAAGGCCAACGAAATGAAAAGCCGAACCGCTTGTTGACCGGCATAGATTTCTAACGGAGAACACACGTCTCGACATGGATTTGGTACCATCGTTTGCTATCTAAATTTCTTATAATTATTGAAAACAGGCGAATTAAATATTTTGCTACATTTGAGTAATCCCGGATTGAGTGGAAACCTGAAAGTGTATCCACCTTCCAAACTTCCCACTCACAACAGTGACACACCCGTCCTCAGTATCAGTTATGTTTTTAGATTTTGAATGGAACGAGGAATATATTGATTTTACAAACATGTTTATTTGATTTTTCTGTGGAAAATTTTTTTACCAGAAATTTTGCTCAGATTTTCAATGATAGTAGGTACTTTTCCTAAAAGGTAATCTAACTGGAGAGGTGCCTTATATGGATTATATTTTGATTTGCCCAGGAATTTTTCAATAAATAGAAAAAACCGGGGAAAAACGTAAGAAAAACACGAAAATAGGTCCAATTGGAGATGTAAATTTGAATATTTTCAACTTTCTTTGAAAATTTGAAAACTTAAGTTTTAATATAATTTTCTTGGCATTATTATATTTTGAAGTCGTTTGATTGGTTATAGTTATGAAAAATTAAAAAATAAATCTTTTCTTATATTGATTAGTTTTAACAAACTAATTTGGTTTTCGATTTCAAATATCAGACCTATCAATTTTTCGGGTGGCACAGGTTTTGAATCGATAGGTGTATTGTACAAAAAGTAGAGTGCTGGTGTCACGTTACGTTAGCACCACACCAGTAAATATCGATTTTCATGGGTTCTGAGTGGTATACGAATTCAGAATTTTCAATTTCAAATGTGTACAAATAGAATAACAATTGTTGGTGCAAATTTTTTAACAAAATTCTAAGTTGGAAATGCTAATGTAATTGACCTCCAAAAACCAAGCTTCGATTTTTCAATGTAGCGTGTTATGTGAAAGCAAATGTTTTCTGGTTGGTATAATTGATTTCCCCTGCAGTTTTCTTAATAATTTTAGATTCGAAGCGAAACGAGGAATGTATTGGTTTTTAAATGATGTTTATTTTATTTTCTGTGAACAATTTTTTTACCAGAATTTTCGCTTTGGTTTTCAAGTACAGCATCTTTTTTGAAAGAAAATTTGATCAATGTAGTACTTTGAAAAAATCATTTTTTGATATATTCAGGGTTTTTCATAATAATTGAGATTTTCGTTAGAAATGATTAATCGTTGCGATCAGATATACATTAAGTTTCCCCTCTACTTTCCCAATTTTTCACCTACAACAGTGGCCTACCTCTCGTCCGGAGTATGTCCGTTTGTCTTTTTAATATTCCTTTAGTGGGCCTCGATGAAAATTTTGATCCTGGGGGTTTGGAATGTCTCAATTCGGGCTCGTATTATAGGATAACGTTAATACATTATGTATACTTACAATCTGTTCAATACAGTAGACATTAAAATATTGCATCTACATACTTATCACTTTATCATTTCATGTTCACGTATGTTAATTAAATCAGTTAAGTATAAATTTAATTGTGTTCTGAAATCTTTAAAATATTTTATTTTATTATATGCGAGTTAACACAATTTACACGCGTTATGGTGACCATAGCAATGAATAAGTTTTTTTTTTATACAAACAGTATTTTGTAAAAATAGCATCAAAATGTATTTTATGTAAACCATAATGAATAATTATATGAAATAATAGTTTAGCTCATCATAATTTTTACCTAGTGGTAAAACATGATATTAAGTGTATAGTGCAATAGTTACTACAATCGTAACCGAACTTCACGCAGAATCTATTTTTGTTAACAATGGTTAACCGTTGCTTATAGATATAAATTCAATAACTATGTATTTTACCGATTCCCCGTCTATATAAGTGACATATAGTCGACAATATCAGCTAATTTTTCAGAAATCGTATTACAAAACAAAAAGTTCAAATTTTAACGAAAATCATACAAATTACCACATTTCAAAATAATATTTCGAACTCAGATTCATTTTTCGTTCAATTTTCAAGCAAACCACGATGATTTTTCAATTTATTGTAATACTTCACATACTCGAATCTTGAAAACTGAAATTTTGTAAAAAAAACTCAGTGTAAAAACACAGAAAATATACCTACCTTTAAGTTTAATAATATTTTTAATTTCGGATTAAGAAGAGAGTCAAGGAAAGATGTCTTGGGTCATCCACGGGCTACAAGACTCCATGAGCCTCAGTTTTTTCCAAAGTGTATTATAACATGCAAATCGTTTAATTTGGGTTTTAATATTTTTTCGTTTCATATTGATGTTTTATAGTGGAAACTTATACACAGCTTGTAAGCTTTTATATAATTATATTTATTTATTTAAATAAGTATATTTCAGAATATATTAGTTTAGTATAATTAAGATGTATTATCTCTAAATTATTTATAGTTCTTACTTTGTTAAATCGTATTGCACTATTGGGTAACAATTTTGTTTGGTCTTAATTTTATTTGCCTATTAACAGTACTCATTTATCAGAAAGTTTGCTGTGATTTTCCAGAGCACCGTGGTTTCCGAAAACAAATTTTGTCTAGTTGGTGTATTGATGAGGTCATTTTCATATTATTTTCTTTGCAATTTTCTTAGTAATTTTTTTTTATTATTATTATTATTTATATTGTGGGCCTAATTGAAAAATTCGGCACCGGGGCTTCTAAATATCTTCATCCAGGTTTGGACACGCCAATTCATTTTTATATTAAAAATAACAGCGCACTTCTACTGAACAAAAAGTTGGCATTGTCCAATTTTCAACAATATTCGTAACATAATAAGATATAGTAAAATAAAATTAGATAGGTATTATTTATGTATATAAATATATAATATATTAACCCTACACAGATCACGCGGATTACTATTGTAATCCGCTCAAACATAAATTAAAATTACAGATTTTCGAAACCGCAGGTTTGAGTGGAAAGTCAAAGTTGTCATTTGTCACAAACTATCAGATCGGTTTTGATTGTTTTGTTCGATGTTAATAATCCGTTATCTTTAATTAAAACCAATTGGACTACAACCGTGCGTACGTCACGCAACTTTACTCTCGTTAATATATAAATATATATATACGTATCTTTTTATAATTATTAATTTTGAGTATAATTAACTATAATTGCTAATAATACTTCAAAACTTGTGGCCGTGTATCAACAATGCATATTTCACGCTTTAGATTTTATTAAAAAAATCTGCGGTTTGTCAGATTTTACTTATCTTTCAGAAAGAAGAAAAATCAATAAATTATCTGGCATATAATGGGCATTTTGGATTCTGAGCAGAGCGAGGTTTTACAATGAATGTTTTTCTGCCAGAAATGTTGTTCCGATTATCAAGTGTAGTTCTATTTCTGAAAGAAAATTGATGAGGAGGGTGGTACTTTAAGTGATTTCCCTAGGGGTTTTTATAATAATTGGGAAAAACCCGAAAAAACTAAGGAAAAACGAAAAACTTTATGAAATGTATTATTTTAAAACCGTAATTGCCTATGAAGTCCTTTCATCAAATATTTAATCAAACTCTGCTCAGAATAGTTTTTCGTTAGCAATAATTAATCTTTGCGTACAGATATTTCCCCTCTACCTTCCCTTAACAAACTATAAACTACCAAGCCATTTTTTTTTTTTTATAATGTGTAATAAATATTTTGTTCACCTAGTTTCAATGTCCTAATTTAATTTAAAACCAATTTAAAATACAGAATACAATTTCGATTATTATCGAAATCCACGCGAGCTCTGACGTGAAATCTGTGAACCAATGCAGCTCAATTCAGGTCATATATATTTTTTTTAAATTTAATTTAATCGTGTTGTCCTACGGAATTCGTTCAAAACTATAAAAAAAAACTTAATTGTGTTGAGTTTTTTAATGTATTGTTTAATTAAACAAGGGATGCTTTTTCGATTTTGCAACACTACTTTGGGCCCAATATTTTTAATGCGTATAATAGGGAAAAGATGAATAATATAATTTATAATAATAATAATATATTTGTCTAATTTAATTTCCTATAAAAATCCTTACTCGTGATTCTATCATTATATACAATCCATTTACGTAAAAACTGAATAGCCTGTTTTATGTATTGTTTTGGTATTTTTCAGGTCGTTTAATGAAAAAGTATTGATAGTCGTTATTGTAGGAAATCGAATTTAAACAAAATTATTAGTTTTTAAAATGTCTGTGTATTATAAAAATTGTATTGGTCGTAATCGCAAAAAAAAAAAATTTTTTTAGAATTTTCAACCACTTTGTGACACGATTCAAGGCACTGCTAATGCTTATGAAACTAAAAACAAAAACAAAAAAATGATTCTAAATGGAATAAATTATAACATTAGTAAATTAGTCTAAGGTAATACCGGGATGAACAAAATAATATAATTGTTGGCATTTTTTTTTTCAATTTTATTAGAAAACCAGTCGGGAATCTAGACGTTTATCAAATAAAATTTAACCCTTCGGCAAAAACTCGCATTTTATATTATAATATATTCAATTCAATTTTGTTATACCGATAGTTTTCCTTTCACGAAAAATTTACTGCATATTAAATTATTCGCATATGGCATATAATACGATAATATTGCTGTTGGAAACTTTTTCAGTTACAGTACTGAACATATGCTAATTGGATTGCGAAAATTCACGTGCGTTATTTTTTTTTGCAAGTAATTTTTTTTTTTTCATCAGGAAAATTGCCACTCTTATAATAACGGCATTCATTGTCCCTCATAATGAACTTACTAATTACGAGTACCGGAATGATTCCAACCTCGGGAACAACGCGGAAGAGGAAAAATTTAAAAAAAACTGTATCGAAGAAAAACTACTCAACTTGCGGTTTTGGTCTTTACATTTCACCCGGCCCTCCCCTCACTCCCACGCAAGACGAGACACACGAGTTTTTCTTGTAAAGCATATATTAGTTCGATCAAAGTATTATTAAATTATATATTATACTCACGTTATTATGTGTTTACCTTATTCCGCACGCGAACAAAGTTTAATATATTTCCTGTAAA